GAGCTTGCCAGTGACAAAAACCTACTAGCCAGCAAGAGCCAGTCAGTAAGCTAAAGCAGAAAAAGCCCTCTATCGGTGGCGGTGATCTCATAGACCCCATTTGTTCTGTCAGTTGCTGTAGTCATTGCAGAGAAGAGGTGGAACACCCCACCCAAAATTTGGCTCAGCTGTGAGAGCTGTGACAATGCTCTCACACCAAGTAGGTATGGAAGATTTATTGCTCACAAAAAAGAGGTCCTATGGAAACAGCAGTGTGTACTCCTAAGCAAGTTAAAAAATGACTTCGGTAAGTAGTGGAGACCAGCTTGGCTTTTTCTAGTGGGTTGGAGGTAGGATTGGAGTAAGTGTTCCCACAAAAAGGTTGTAGCTTACATGGCTTAAGCTACCCCAGCAGAATATTTCTTACCATTACGTCCAGAAAGGGAGCAAAAGCAGCAATGGTGTGTTTGGAAAACTGTCAGCAAACATCAAAAAATGAGTCAAAGTCTATGAAGTTATGTAGAGATTACAAAACTAATTTGGTTTACGTTTTTGAAGGGAATCAATTTGCTGCTACTTCAGGGTAGAAAGTTTATTTTTTCAAGCAATGCCAATCTGCAGTCCCTATATTATGAAAGTGAGGAGAGGCATCCTCTTCTCACTTTCAAACTATACCATTATCCTCCACTGCTAAAACTTAAGGAGATTCTGATCTATACCTTACCACCTAAGAATGCAACCTCACTGAGTCATGGTTACTGGATAGGAATGTCATAGCCTAGGGAAGAAAAACAGAAGCACTTGCATTATTACGTATAAGAAGAGACATGGACAAATGGTCCTCTTTAGATCTTTGCATTTTCTTTCTGAATCTTCTCACTCTGGAATGGTTTTAACTTACTGGATCCAACTTCTCATTCTTCTCTTTAATGTTACACCTTTATTCATGATGTTCTCCCTACATTCAAGGCCTTTCAGCAGTCAGATCTTCTCAGTTAGAAGTAATATTTGCCCAAACACTTGGAACGTTATTTCTACCTTGTATTATTTATCTTATTCTTCACTGCATTTGTATAACTCATTTACAAATCTTGGTAGCCAGACAACAAACTATCTGACTGCAAGATTCAGGATTGATTTAACTTTGCATTCATTAATCATGTAAGTATTGCTAATAATAAACAGTGTATGTCTTATATGTGTTTAATGAGAAAGTGAATGAATAAATAGAATCTCAGGTCTTACTGTTCTGTAAAAATATGCAATGACATCATAGTTACAAACCAGGTAAACTGGATAAATCATCAAAAGAAAATCCTAATTTTATCTGCACAAGAAAAACATGCATTTGATTTATACAAACTCTTCATGGTTTTTATTAGGGTTTCAGTGAGTTATTATTTTCCTTTGGGGTTAGTGTATAGGTTGTTTCCTTACCAATTTCATATCATCCCATATCACAAAAAATGAAGGTAGCTTTTAGATATATTCAGTTTACTATAATTTCAAAAATGCTTTATAGCCTGCTAGGTGTTTTACATCCATCATTTCTTCAAAATAGTAAAGTATGAAACAGAATTATTGTATTACAAAGGCTTATTTTTATCTGTAGTTGATTTCATGAAGGTTGATGTGGAGGAAAATCCTTAGGTTAGCCATCTATGAGAATAGCTAAACATGCATCTTTGTAAGTTAAAACTTTTTTTCTCTCTCATACATATTATTTATTTAAATATGCAACTATATATAATCTTTTTAAAAATCCTGATTCCATTTACCTCTCAAAAAGAGTCAAGATGCTATCTTAATTGCTTTAATCAAATAAGTATACTTTTGGATTTATATGTAGCTTTCCTAGTGGGAAACATTGCTGTGAATGAGTTTTTCTGCCCCTCTGGAGATCCCACTCTTCCTCCAATAGGCTTTTTAATTAGGAAGTCAGGCAGTGCTGAATATGCTGCTGCATCACCAATACAGGTGTGAAATTGCCTCAAGCATTTACTTGAAGAATGTGTATAAGCTTGCCAAGAAGGAAAGGAAGCCTTTGCCCCTCACAGTGAAAGTCACATTTTCTTAATTAGGTACTTTAATGTATACCATGCCATTAAGATCTTGTAATTTTCCAACTACTGCCCTTTTTACCAGATAAGGAAACTACAGCTCAGCAGGGTAACAACTGCTACTAAGTGAGACAAGGCCACAATAGTTGGAGTACAGAAACAACTGAACCAAAGTGGGGCTGATTCCAAAGTGCAGGGTTTTATCCCTGTTACTATAATGTACACACTATAAAATTATAACAAATATTATGCAAAAACAATGGGGAAACCTTAACCACAATTTGCACTGGTTAAAAAATTGATTGAAATCATAGTGCTAGAAGGGATTTTAGTGGTCTTGCTCAATACCTTTCTTTCGTAAGTAAGGAAACTGATGCTCAGAGACAGGATGATTGCTTGAAGTCGTATAGCTAGTAGTTTAGAGGCAAAGCGGTGATTCAGATACAGGCCTGACTTTGAGTCCAGTGAGCTTCCCACTAGAATACATTATCAGTCCCACAACTGTCTCACTAACTTCACACTTAGGTTCCATGAATATAATGATATTGACAAGATACAGCCAAAGGTCTGCAATCTAAGTGTGCATTTTGGTAAAAAGCTTTCTACCTTACCTCTGCCCTGCTTGTAAAATTCATCCAAGCATCTGCTGCTTCATATCTGTAATTTATTGTGAAATCCCTTGAGAGGCTGCATATCCTGAGTGTAAATCAGCATCCTAGTCAAAGGTAGGGTAAAGATGTGAGTCTCATATTAAGCTCTGCCTTCCATTACTCTCTTACAGACCAGAGTAGCTCTCCACTCCTTAAGAGGCCATTAATTAGTACTAAACAAAACATACATCTACTTAAGGATTATTTGCCTTACTTACTTACCTACTCATGAAAACACTGTCAAACTCAAACCATGTTTATTCCACTGATTGGAACAATGGAGTACTCTTCTGTAGAGTATCTCAGACTGAAGTGTACATTGGGATTGATACAGTCTTTGAAGAAGTCCAGTGACAGAATACTGTATTTTAGACAAGAAAGACTGTGGAATAGTTTATGAAAAAGTAATCCCATTAGTATCACTTTAAGTTTTTCTTTTTTAAACAGCTGGCAGCGTGCCTGGCCTAAAACAAGTGGTCCATAAAAACTGAATTAATCAACGCTTTAATATTTAAAATTCTATATAATTATTCAGAATCATATACGGAAGGATTTTAACTACCTTGTTTGCTATTAGCTTTTCTTATTCACCTTTAAAAGCACTTATCTGAGAATACCTTTTTATCCGATAAAAGGGGCTGTACCAGCAAGCCTAAGATTACTGGAGTTGCCATCAAGTCAAGGAGATGACTGACAGAATTAAATAAGATGATATATTTTATACTAGGCTCCATGTTACATACTGGTAGTGAGAGATTAGTCAGCCTTCAGTAAAGCTCAGATATATGGGCAAATAATAGTAACAAAGTGATTTATACAGTACCAGAAAAATAAAATAGCAATAGAAAGGAACAGATGAATAGATTTATTTGGAGACTTGTGGCTAGGAGGGAGGAAATGCCTGAGATCGGTTTTGGTTGCCAACTAGAAACCTGTAAAGAAAAAAGACAGGCAAGAAAAGTATTGTTTGGAGTGGCTGGGCCACCTCATATCACAAGTGTGCAACTCAATAAAAGAATTTAATAACAGACATCATTTATTGAGGATTCCAGGAACTGAGCCAGGTATTTTCACGTTTTTTCATACCTTTCTTGGAGGCAGAGGTCATTTCTGACATTTTCCAGAAGAGAAAGAGTTAAGTGACTTGTCCAGGCCATGTGGCTAGTAAGATGGAACTGGAAAGTTAGCAATGCCGTAGCTTAAAGATTCAGAAAGTTATTCTCTAGATTCACAAAAATTTTGCAATGGTAGCACGGAAAGTGTGGTGAGGACAGCCCCATAAATCTGCTTCAAACATAGTTGGTCTTTGATCTATTTTATACTATGGACTTTCATATAAGACTTTAGTACTGCTGTTTTAAAAAAACAAAATCCAACTGTTATAATTGAGTAAATTAGTTTCTTGGAGCCATACTCTGTAATTTAGTCAACATGGCAGATAACTGAAAATGGACTATACTAAGCCCAGTCTAAAATATTCAAATCGAAAGGGAAAGAGAAACAAAACCATTTAGACCACACTTTGAGTCAGCAGATACTTGCTTTACTTGAGGGCCAAGGCATGACTGCAGTTTAGAGAAGGAGATAGATAGACCTAAACGCTGAGTGCCAATCAGTGATAGCACTTCCTCCCAAAAGCACAGGCAGCTGGAGAATTCTTGCCCTTTTTTATCTCAAACCAACCCACAATATTATATTCATTTCTCCACTGCAAACCATGTGGCAAAGGCCTTGCTTGCTGTTATTGCCTCTGCAAGTTTCCCATTGACAACAAAGACACATCTCCTGCTGCTGAATGCCACCACAGATAAAATGACTAATAACAAGTAGTCATTTGTGATGCAGTTTTAATTGGATCAATTTCCTCTCAATTACACAATCTTTGAAAATCGGATGCAATTTCATAATCAGAAGTTGGAGTCTTCTCCAGATGATAAGACAGACTACTTCAACATCACTTTAATTACCTCTTTACCTATCCTTTGGCAGCTATCACAACACATGCCAAAGGGAAAAACAAACAAGCCAACAACATCCCCTCAAAAAAAAAAAAAGAAAAAACCCAAAAAACCACTGCCACCAAAATATAAGTTTGAGCAGCTCAGTTTAAAGATCTTGTTTCTGTGAAAACAAGGGACTAGCTCTTTGCCTTGCCATCATCCCTGCACATAACGAGCCAGATATGTTGCTTATTAAACACCAAAGCCTGTGGAATCTTGACACAAATTTTCTCACTTACTTCTGGTCTTAAATGTACAAGACTATCTTTTTTTGAACTGTAATTACAAGAACTAAACATATAGTAGAGGTTCAATTATGAGCACCTTTAAGGGGTGATGATTCTGTTCATATTTTCTGTCCATATTTACGTGGGAATGAGATTTGGATTACTTTTATATAATGGTACTTTTGACTGAGTTTTGATTCCTATGCTCTTAAAGAATGTACTATCAGATAAGAAAACAAAGTGGCATGGTAAAATCTACCCTTTTTTTCATTTTTCAAGTCCCATGCTTAAATAAAGACATGACCACCAGTGATGAAACAGTTATCAATTATTTAATGCTTAACAGAAGAAATAAATCCCAAAACCAAACAGTATACATTCACTGAGTAAAATACATAGTAACTACCCAACACACTGTTGTTTTAATAATGAAAATGATGTGTCTACCTTCCTGGTTTGTGTTGTACAGTTCCTCAGGCAACTCTTAGCACAGGTCAGTGGAAAGTGTATGAAAGTGCTAAGCCCTAGAGACTACTAAGTTTGCTGACTATATTAGTATCAATGTTTGCTTATCCTCATCTTCCTATGCTGTGGCTTAACTCTAATCCATGAGCTCCTTTACAAGGCAAGCAATTTCCAGACTGCAGTCTTCAACACTAATCAACTAGGATCAATCCATTCTCTGGCACATCTGGAATGAGAGATGGCACAAATCCTCCAGCCAAGAGGTACTGCTTCCCAAAGGGACCAGGCATCATCCTTGGTGGCACTTAATGAATGCACTTCCATATTAGTAAAGGTGATCAAACCTGAGACATCATGCTACAGGCATATCACTGAAGGGCAAAACAGATCCCACTAGAGCATGCACACAGAAAGCAATCAGAGATGAAGAGAAAGTATCACTAATGAAGACCATTATAATAGGAAAGAAACAATGGACTAGGGACATCAAAGCCAAAAGGAGAAAATCAAGAAAGATTCAATACAGGGGCAAATTTCAAACACAGGGGCAAAGAGCTAAAGTGGCTGTCTCACAAAAGCCTCAGAAGTGCCTAATTTCTAATCAGACTTTAGCTAATACCATCATGTGTCCTATTTGGGGTAATGTACCAGTTAAAGCTCTAAATTTGGATTGGGGGTGGGTACAGGAGAGTATCAAATTAAAAAAAAAAAACAATAAAAACCAGAGTTTCTAAAATTCTACGACAACCCAGATGGAATCATGACATAGGCCAAGTCTACACTATAGTTACCACCAACAACCAAAGACTAAGGGAAGGAAAATTGGCTGGGGAACAAAAGAGATTGGTATTTCTCATCCTCTAAGGGGTAGAATATCTTCTTAAATGGTAGCTATAGATCTTGATACAATGATCCCAACAGTCCAAGACCAGTAGCTGCCCCTTAGGAGTGAGGGCAATGCCCACTGGACAGGTAAGCCCCTCTCGAATGAGGACACTATACCCCCCACCCTTAGGAAAATGGAGAATTTCCTTGCGACTACTATCAGCCACAATGAGGTCACCACGAGCATCCACACACATGCCAGCAATGCAGCGGAAATCCTCATTCTCAGAGAAGAAATGGCTTATCTGGCGACCCAGCTGACCATCAGGACCCACAGAGCCAATGGAGAAGCCACCCTCCAGGTGGTGTTCATTTTGCCGATTTTCCAGATTGAGGCCCAAGCCCTGGGTGAAGTAGACAGTGCCTTCAGCATCACAGGTGACAAACTTGGGACGCACAGCACTGCAAAGGCAGCTGTACTTGACCACCCCTGCTCCTCGGTCAACAGTGAAACACCAAAGTTTCCCACCTTCCACATCAGTTACCACAAACTGGCCTGATGGCAGGGCTGTGATGCCCCATGGTTTGCTCAGCTGGCTCCTGTGACAGGCCACACAATGGCCATCTAAGGTATATACCTTGAGGGAGTTGTCATAGCTGTCAGTCACACCAATCAGCCCATTGCAGTTCATGGCCACTGAGAGAGGAGTGAGATTGGGTAAATCAGCCCCAAGGAAGCTGAGCACGAAGCTGTCAATGCCACTGGGGCTGCGACGGATCTCTTTCAAGAAGCCTTTGCGGGTGAAGACTTGTATACGGTAGTTGCCACGGTCAGCAACCAGGACTTCACCTTGACTGGTCACGTACAGACTGACTGGCAGGTTGAACATACCTGGAGTGCTGCCTTTGGCCCCCATCTTCTTAAGAAAGAGGCACTGCTGGATACTGGAGGCTGCCTCGGAACCCCGCTGTTTAGCAGGTGAGGCTCTAGGGCTGACAACCACTTCCTCAGGACTCATGTCCATCTCTCTAAATGTAACAGAGGTAGAGGGAGCAGAGGCTGCAGCCTCCATGGCCCAGGAGTCTTCCATGTTAACTGTCCGGGGCTTCTTCACAGCCTGCCCAATTTGGAGGGGGCCTACATGACCTACCTTGAGGAGCTCCACATCTTGCAGGGTGAGCTCCCGAGGTAAGCTGGCAGTGAGCTCTGGCTCCTCCTCGTCGGCTGTCTCTTCTAGCAGTGCTACATCGGCCTGCTTGATCTTGGCCAGAAAGTAGTCACAGCGAGACACAGCCTGCACCTCTGCGATGTTAAGCAAGTAACTCTGCTCCTCCACCACTTGACTGTTGGACTTCTCAACCTCAGCCAGAGAGCCTGTGAAGAACTTCCGTGAGCGAGCCAGCTCATCTTGGACCCTGTGCTCCTCGTGCCCATACTCTTGAAGAACTGCCTTATACCTTGCCTGCAGGTCTTTGGAGACACACTCCAAGGCCACCTTACGCCTCTGCAGTTCCCCCATGAGCTCCCGCAGGCGAGTCAACTTCTCTCCAAAGTCCCGCCGCCGCTCCTCAGCTGCCTCTTTGACAGGAAGGGTGCAGTGGCTGGGAGGCTGGTGTTCTGCCTCCCGGCATGGCTCACACAACAGCAGGCCACAGCTGCGGCAGAACTGCCGGGGCAGCCGCCGCCCACAGGCCCGGCACAGGAGCAGTCCCACAGCCTCACTGAGCCCAGCTGTGTCGATGATCTTCAAGACCGTTAGGTTGTCTGCCAGCTGGCTCAGGCTGCTAATGCGGGTAATCTTGCTGCAAAAGGGACACCGGACGCCATTGATGCTGCTGGCCAGCAGCTTTTCCAGGCACTGGCGGCAGATGGTATGGCCACAGTGCAGGAGCTTCGGACGCAGCTGCTCTTCACTGAAGGATTCCATGCAGATGGGGCATTCTAGCACTTCCCGAAGGGCATCCAGGTTCAGGTGAGATGCCGCTGCAGTGGCCATTGTTCTTCCTGTCAAAGGTCGTGCTAGCAGAGCCCAGAACCAAACAGCTTAGTATTCATGCCCCAGAAAGTCAAAGTTCTGCTAAAGAGAAAAAGAAACCATTATTCATTTTCTTCTGCCTATATAAATGATTTCCGACAAGAAATACTTGAAGAATAGCTATGATTATTCAGTCTCCACTTACTTAACAGGTCTACTATGTGTTAGACAATAGTGCCATACAAGGAAACAAACCAGATGGAGTGCTGCATAGTATATGAATTCAGGGAGGAACTTAAAACTTCCTAAAGCTCAGTTTCTTTAACACTCATTTGTAACAGAGACATAATAATGGTGTCTACCTTACATGCTTATTTTAAGTGTTAAATGACATGGTAAATATGATGCCTTTAATATAGATCCTGGTAAAAGGTATACTTGTAATAAATGCTAGAGATTGTTTCATACTTTATGCAGTTTATGGTTCATAAACTAAGAGAAAAGCACACAAAAATTATGTATAGTAAAAAGAACAACATGAAGGTTCACAGGACATCCTGTGAGACTATGGTAGTCAGAGGAACTGGGAAAGGCTGCCCAGAGTGGTACCACTCCAGAGATATGTCTTGAAAGAAATGAGGCAATGAGAGATAAAGGTATTTGAGGCAAGGAAAACTGTGAGCAAAAGTGTGGAAAAACTCTTCATTACGCCATAGAGTTTTGTGTCATGTTTGGGGGCCTAGGAATCATCCAGAGAAATACAAAGTTCTGATCACTACCTTTAGGTGATTTGCAAAACATTAGATAAGAAAAATACATGCTTTCCACTCATCTGTCCTCCTGCCTAACTCACTTATCTGCCCATCTTAGTCTAGGTATCATATACTGTACTAGACACTAAGGTTTTCATGATACAGACCCTGTTCTTCAGATCTCTAACTCTCAAAAAAGGGGGTAAGACATGTAAGTAAATAATCAGGATAGAAAAGAGTTTTATAAATTAATTATAAACTAAGTTTGACAGATAGTAATATAGATTAATTCTAATTTGAAGGAAGTCAGAATTTCAAGAGGGGAGATGGCACTTTATGTGTATCTGAGAGAATACATAGAAATGTGGAGATGGGAGAAAGGAATACCAGGCAAAGAGCACAGCCTTAACAAGGTTAGACAGTAGGGAAAAGACAAGTTTTGTGTATTGGAAAGAGAACAGAGAACAGAGAACTCGTGGCCTCACTAGGTTTTATTTTCCTGATCTGTAAAATGGAAATAAAACTGCCTTTACAGGGCTAATGTAAGGACTGAGTGAAGTAATACATGTAGTATATGGAATGCTAAGATTTGGCTTGGCACTAAAAAAAGAGTCTTGAATGAGCCTTTGTTCTGTTTTTCCATGTCCTTAGTTAAAACTGTATGAGAATATGCGGGAAACAGAGTAAGTTTGGGAAGGTCAATTGGGATGATTATAAAAGGTATTCAGGGCAATGTGTGATTTTTGAAAGTCATTCTGAAGGGCACAATGAGGCAACAAATGTTCGGGAGCAGGGAAGTGATATTTAAAGTTGAAATGGAGTGGGGAAAAACATCAAAGAAACTAGTTTGGAAGCTATAGCAAAATACCTAGGAGAATAATGGTGAGTCTGAACTAAAAAACAGGTAGAAGTGGAAAGATGTATTTGAGCAATATTCCAGAAGTACAACTGCTAAGATTTGAAAACAGAGTGGATTATGGTAGAATGGTGATGAGCTAAACTGGCCAAATGTGAACGCCTAGATGATTTTAAAAAATAGTAGTTCCTTATTAAGATAGTTTATTTCAGGCTTGGAATATTCTCTGCTTCCCCTAGTATAAATTATGAGAATTCCCACTCTCCTCGATACACATATGCTCATGCTATATCACTGCCAATTTTATACCCAAAATTAGAATGAATACATCTAGAAAGGTGAAGCATGTGGATAAATGCAGCCCTTCTTAAATGTAAATCTTATAGCTATACCTGTGCAGTCTGGTGATAGATGGTCAGCCATCAAGGAGAAGGAGGGGGTGGAGAGCAAGTTAGCTTGATTTTAAGGACAATGTAGCTAGGTGAGAAAAGCTTTGCCGGCCTTGTCAACTTTTCCAGGCATCCAGAAAGGGAGTCAATGTAGAGATATATATCACAACATCATTAGTTTCAGAATGCAATCGGACAAATACTCTACAGCAGAAACACACAATTTATCTAGTCAGTCCTACCTCCTAGAAATCCCTCTCCTGTGAAGGAATTCATCTAGTAGTCATCTACTGCCTAGGATGTAATAGATACCATTACCAAGTATTTAATAGACTTAATCTCATTTAATCCTCTCAATGACAATATAAAGTAAGTAATATTTTTATTATCCTATTTTATAGATGAGAAAACTAAAGTTCAGAAAAATTGACTCAAGGTCACACAGCTCCACCATGGTGATAGCTTGCAGAACTCACATTTTTAGTTTGTTTAACTCAACATTACTTTCAAGCTATTTCTCTTACCACCATATAACACTTATTAACAGGTGTTCTTTAGACTGTGCTCTGGGAAATGTTGCCTTATAACATACAATTTTCTCCTCAAGGAAAGAACATTAACATAGCTATGAGATTCAGCTGCTAGAGAGGGTTAGCCTGATTTATTAGCTGAGTGAACCACTCCCACACACTAGCCTTGCAACCTATTATGCCTCAAATCCATGTCTCAACAAAATAACAAACTGTCACCTATCAAGAGTCTAAATGGTCTCCTATGGATATCTGAAACTGCTAATGCTGAATTCCTAAAATGCCATGGGTCTAGGGGCAATGGTATGGAAATACTGAAAGAAACCTCAACTCAGGATCCATGCAAACCTTCTCAGTTCTAAACCAATAGCTTTGTTCTCTCCTCCATCATCTGGGACAACAGACTGAGGGCAACATTTGGTGTTTGGATCCAGAGCATGTTACCTTACAATGTGCAGGGACATCTGTTCTTCCCAGAGCTGGCACAGATCAGCTAATTAAACAAGTCTGCCAACTTGTAAAAATACCAGCAAATTGTTTTCCAAGCTTTGTGGATATCATACCATCTCCTTCAATTTAAAAGCTTCTTGCCTCTCTGTCTCAACCATCAGTTTATAAAAATGGATTTACTATGCCCACATCCATACCAAAAGATGTCTACAGCTTTACCAGGTTCTCAAGGGATGTTAAAAATTCCTGCCCTGAAGCTGCCATACTTTGGCACGGCAACTTAAGTACCCATCACTAAAGCATTAGGCATGGAAAGCCTTCGACCTGGAAATATAGCTTTCGGAAAGTTCTTAGCCTGAAATGGAACTAAAAGACAGGCAAATGCAGCCTCTCTCCTCCAGAAGGGCACATCTGGTCATTACATTGAGAATGGTTCATACGGAAGCTCAATTTTCCCAAAAAGACTACACAGTGAAAGAAATTATCTCATCACCCAAACCTTTAAGTATGCTGTTTATTTCTGTCAGCTAGGAGAATCTCTGTCCAACCAGAATGAAACTCCAACATGCTATTTATGATCTTGGCTGCCTCCACAATCTTTTAAGCACATTTCCTTTTGTGGACTTTGTACGCCCACATCTTACCCTTCCACTTCATCTAACCTGTTTACCCTTTCCCTTATCCTTCTGAGTTTATGATTTATACTACTCATCTCATACTGACACCAGCACCTCTGACTCCGGATGAGACTATAGCCTGTAAGCTGTTTCTGCTCTGGCTGACCTAAGACACCAGGAAAATTCTGTAACTGTACACCAGCCTTAGCCTCTTTTAGCACTATGGGGTTTTCCCCAGTTGAAGAAATAAGTAACCAGGTAGTACAAAAAGCAAACAAAACAAAATGGCATAAACCTTGAAGTCAGACACAACTGGGATCATATCTTAGCAGTACCAATTATAAGTTTGGAACAGGTGGCAAGTTACTTAACCACTCTAGTCCTATTTTCTTAGTTTATTAAAAAAATCATGTGATAAGGAGGGATAATACATAAAAGGATGCTATTTGCCATAATTTTAATAGCAGTCAAGAATAGTATATAAAATAACCAGAACTAGTCTTAACAAAGAATTCAGTTTACAAACTAAATTTTGAAAGGATGAAGAACCTTTTTTTTTTTCATGGCATATAAAGGTATATGAAGATTAATAAAAGGACTGGTCAGCCTTGGAGGGATTTGATTTAAAATGCTAGCTATTCAGGCTAGAAACTAATGAGTAAGAGTTCACAACTTTTCTTAACCAAAAAATAAACCGCTGTAGCTCCTTCCAGCTAACTATGGAAGGCTAGAATTAGTGATCTCAAAGAGTAATATAAATGAGGAAACTGAGACCAGGAGGGCAAAAATTAACCACTCATAAATCATATGGCAGAACAAGGACTAAAAGTCCTGAGCTGTGAGTGAGCAGTATTATATAGACTAAGGACATGCCCTCAGGAATCAGGCATACTGGATTTAAATCCCAGCTCTTCTACTTACTGTGGAGACCTAGGTAAGTTATTTAACAGCTCTAGCTCTTAGTTTAGTTATGAAATGAGGCTTTAACACAGTACTTTCTTACAAGGTTACTGCAACCATTAAGTGAGATTATGTGTGTCAAACACTTAGTACAGTACCAAGTCAGGCATACAATCAACTACACAGAAAATAATAGTTTCCTTATTATTATTAGCAGCAGTAACAGCAATAGCTATTGCCTGTCACTGCTACTACCCAGCCTGAGAAAAAATGAATAGGCAATTTTCAATAGGCAACTATACCTAAGGCATTAGATACATACACTTAAATAATAAAAATTCCAAGCCTTCTTAAAAATTTTTAAAAATCTGATCTCAGAATCAAAAGTTAAGAATTGACCCAAGGTTTCACATCTTCATCCAATGCTTAAGTCTCTATCATGGGACAGTTCTCTAAATGTCTCTATTTACTATGCCCATTATCAGTCCCTGGGGGCTTTGAGCATGAGCAAAACTGAAGAACCTTAAAGCAATTAATTAAATACATCTTTACTAAGCACCTACTAAGAGTCAATGCTCATGTAAAGCACTGGAGATTCAATTTTGAGAAGCAAACATGAATAGAGCTCTCACCTAAAAAACTACATCACATGTAAAATACTACAATTCTTTTCATAAGACATAAAGGTCCATTCTACTATTAATACATTACCATGGTTTGACTTTTTTTTTTTTTTTAAGGTTTATCACATTTCCTTTCATGTCAGCTTTCTAAACTGTATTTATTCCTCAGGCATTTCAACAGAATACTAACCATGCCACAAAGGTCATTCATGGTAACCACTTGATACTCACCCAAGTCTGTTTTGCAGGAGAGGATTCTGATGAAATTCAGTTTATTCAGGGCATTTAAAACACTACAGACAGCTAAGATAAACTCAACAAGTAAGGGCTTATTGGCAGACACAGGCATGCCCCCAAAAAACAACCTAGAAGAAAATGTTTGCAGAAAAAGAAACTTTAGCTAAACTAAGTCAAGGTTAAGTTAAATCAACAACAGCATTTGCTAGAAAAATGTGTGCCTGTGTTTGTCTTCCTCAAAAACTACAAGAGCTAAAAAGTTTCCCTTGGCTGGGGCTCAGCTCTGGGTTCCATTCCTAGGACCACCAGAAAAAAAAAAAAAAGATTCCCTTGTATCTACTACAAACCTTTAGTTGAAACCTATATTGCCAATATGACTCAAAGAACAAGAATATAAGACAAGGGAAAAATCAACAGCCATTTCTCAGGGGTTTTCCAACTCATCTTCACCCATTCAATTCTCATAGTTCCTTTCTTTGCATATAATGAATGTTCATTAATCACAAGACTTTCTTTTTTTGGATAAAAGAAATAAGAAGCAGATACTGGAAAAGGTCCAACAGGGATGGGATTTGGGGAAGACTGGCAAACACCCCTTAGGGTCACCAAAATTTGCCAGCCCAACATTTAGATCCCTCCAGCTTTACTTTTGTCTTATAATTGCTACCTCTGAGAAAACTATTTATTTAGTGGTAGGCACCTTTTGTACATCGTTCTTTTTCTCATAACTATGTGAAGGATGTGTTATTACTCTTTATAAATAAAGAAAACAATGCTTAGAGAAAAGTAACCTGTCCAAGGCCTTAGGGCTGGTAAATAGTAGAACAGAAATGAAATGCCCAAATTCCTAGCCATAAAACCACACTCAAAAGATGTGTTATACTACCCTAACTACCTAAACTACCTATACTTCCCTATACTAACTTTACTTCCAGGCAGAATCTGGCTAAGAGGTTGGTAAAAGCAAGTAGGAATGACTTTTATTAAATTGGATAGTTTTACCAGAAAGACATAATAAAGGGAGTGCCACAAAACGCAACACATTTGTGTGCATGCAATGCTCCCCTTCAGGATCCTTATAAACTTTTGGCTTCTAATCAGTCTCCAGACATAAGCTCTTAAGTATTAAGAGGGGCCCTTAAGTTTTGGAATGAAACAAGTAGAATTTATGAGTCAAACAGTACTTGGTTTGCGTCCCTGCTTAGCCACTTGCTATGTAGCCTAAGATAAGTCTTTTAACCCATTAGGTTTCTCACCTATAAAATAAGGATTAACATCTAGATTATCACCAAGATCGCTGGCAGGATCTACTGAGATAATGCACATTAATAAGCACTCAACAAACGCAGTTAATTGTATTTTTAATAGATAGAGGCTTATAAGACAAGTGTTTGACAAAGATCACACAGACAATAGCAGTAAAGTAAAGAGCCTAGCCTGAAGCCTCTGATTTCCAGGCTGACTCAATTCCCACTATATATTTTCTTAAGGGATGTGTTTGGATATTTCAGCTAAGTTTCTTGCCCTCAAATCCAGCTTTGTTTCTAAACTGGCTTTAGCAATGCTGTAGCTAGACTTGGAGTTGACAGATTCTGTCCCAGAGGAAATATGCCCAAAAGAGATCATACAGAGTAATCTCTCTCCTTTGGAAATAACTGTCTTCAGCCTGAGACCTTGCTTGGAAGCGTTTTTTTTTTTTTTTTTTTTTTTCAAGCCAATAGCCTTCATACCTCACTTTGTAGTCCCTTATACGGTTTTGGTTTAAGAGCAAACCAAAAAACAAAGTCTAGAGCTCCTCCCTACCTAATCAAAACCACTGACATCCCCTCCCCCTTTACAGTTCAATTTGATATTCAGTGACAATGAGCAATCTTCCTTTTCATTACAGAAGAATGGGCTAAGAAAATAAGAGTAAGCCAGTCTCAGCCAAGAAGCAAGGAAAGAGGGGAATATACAGATCTGAATGTGAGCTTAACTCTGCCATTTTTAATTATGGAACCCTAAACATCACTTTCCTAAGCCTTAGTTTATTCATCGGTAAAAGTGGATGTAAAAGAGCCTACTTAGAGAGGGGTTGTTATGAAAACTAAGAAAGTAAGTATAAAAACAAAAAATTATTAAATTTTAAGCACTATGTCCCAGACACTTGGTGCCTTGATTTATTTCACTATGACACAGGTTTTGCCATTAACCCCATTTTATGAAAAGCCAAGGTATCACTAAGAGGTTAAGTAACTCATTCAAGAAACACAGTCAAGAAGAGGTAAGATCAGGATCTGAACACAGAATACAGGACTCTAGAGCAATGTCCCTCAACTTTGGCACTATTGACATTTTGGGCCAGATAATGCTTTGTTGTGCATGCTGTTCCATGCTTATAATAACAGTGGTCCTTGGTATCTACCCAGTAGATGCCAACAGTATACTCCATCCCAATTGTAACAACTAAAAATGCTTCCAGATATTATCAAATATCCTTGGGAGGAAAAATCACTCCTGGAACCATGACTTTAGAAAATGGCACAGGACTAAATGAGAAAGTTCCATCCATCTCTAACACCTCATTCACAGAGCCACTGGTTCTTCAGGCTATACTAGACCTTGTATAGGATTAATTCAGGACTGAAACAATGCTCCACTAATTCCCCTTTATGTTTCTTACATCTGCTATCACAGCTTGGGGGTACAGAGAAGGAAGGAGTAGGGAGAAAACATTGAATACTTTCCTACTTCACCCCTGTATGAACCACTCTCTTCTTCCCCAAAGCCTATCACTATGGGTGGGCAGTGAGAAGCATGGGATAGTCAGACTAGAGTTAATAGTAGTACCAGGCCTGTCTCAGTATAAGGGGTTTTTAGTAAGTAAGGAAGGCTCTGCCCCTCACAGGGTATGTCACTCTCCTTCAGGATCTCTGAAGACTTACGTATTTATTCCTGAACCCCCGAGTTTTTTTAAAACTTCATACACTCATATATAGTTTATTCATAAGTCACTTGTAGGTCCTTGGGTCCCGGGAACTCCCTCTGCTTCCTATGCAGAAACTTCAAGAAAATTCCTTGAGTAACCCACAAATCTACCCTGCTTTTGAATTCTTCAGCCCAGTTATGACATCTCTACCAGCCATTCAATTCTCTCCAAATCCTTGTAGCCAACCCTCTTTCAATATTGAAACTCAATCTTTTGAGCTGTATTTAGCAACCTTGCAACCCTCAACCAATCACTCACTCATATGCCCCGAAATCCCTAACATATCCTTTGATCCCTGTTTCCAAATCTCTGTGGCCTTCAACCCTGTATTCCAGCTCGGCACCCAAATCCTACACCTCGGATTTCTGCCCTCTTTTCATGTGAGCTCCCATCTCCGGCATTTCCCATCTCCAATCGCTGCTTTCTTTCAACTACTCATCCTACCATCACGTGTTGCCTTCAAACCCTTGCCAGGTTCGTCCTTTTTACTAACAGGGTACTGCTTCTAAATGATTCTCCCAGGAACTCACCCCTCAACTCTCCCAGACCCCACTCCGGAAATCCCTTTCTTTCTAGCAATTAAGATCGCCCTAGACCCAGCTTCCTCTTATCTCAGATCTTGCCCCACCCCCAACGACTAGCGGCCCCAGAGTCCTCAGATCTCCTGGGGTTCTGCACCCCAAGTCTCATCAAGAGCCCCTCTCCCCCAATTCCTCCCTCTTTTTAAAATTCTGCACCCAGATTCCTCAAGGGCTTCAGGTTCCCTCCCTCTCATCTACAGATACTAAACCCCGTCTCTCCGCAGGGCCCCAACATTACCTCATACCTCCCGACTGGCTGCAACTGCGAATCTTGTCAGATCCCCTAGCTCCCCTCCCCCAGGTGCACCTCCTCCAATCTCAACCCCATCAAATCCCTCCCGAGCCTGCATCTCACAACCACACCCCACCCCCACCCCGGTCCTGCCCGTGCAATCCGGTTCTCAGACTCTGCCACTGGGGCATGGGTCCCCTCACCCTAACATTCACACACCACCTGCGACTCCGTCCGCGGCCTCTGGTCCCCAACCCTCCTTCCCACCCCCTACCTGACCGCCCGCGGCTCCGACGCGTCCACCGCTGCCAGCCCACCCGCCCGCCACCGCCCTCTGCGCACGCGCCACCGGGCGCCCCCTCGCTAGGCGCTAATTCGCAGAACTGCCTGTTCATCACCCAGCTCCCGCCCCCTCCCCGAGGCATTCTGGGGCTTGTAGGCCCGTGCGGCCCGAGCGCTCCCGTCCCGGCGGCGCCCTGGGGCCAGAGCTCCTCCCACAGCTGGAGGCCTTTGCTAGGGGCGGATTCAGCTTGCCTTCCAACTGAAGAAGAAATGGAGGCCGATGGGCGAAAAGAGCGCGCCCAAGTTCACTCAGCGAGGCGGAAGCCAAGCGAGAACTCCTGCGTCTGACTCCAGTTTCTAGGTCTTACCCTTCTATAAACCGTGAACTCCCTACCCCCCAGCAGTCTTCAAGAAAGTCTGGGCACCTGGCAGAAAGGCCTCTCTGAACCTCAGCTTTCCCAGCTCAGAAATGGGCAAAGGAAGACAAGCACACAACCTGACTCCCTTGGAAGGACAGAGCCCCAGGCCTTGTATTTCTGCCTGTGACACATTACTTGTCTTACTAGAGACAAGTTTTTAACATACAGCTCTTGTTTAAGAGTTGTATGCCTACTCAGATGGGAGGCCCTGGGCAGAGGTAAATGTGGGGAAACACCGCTGTTCCTTTCCCTGTAGTTGGAAATACCTAGGAGCCCATACCCAAGACTACCTTTGGGGAATGGGGAAGGTGATCTGTCCTGCTAGCTGGCCAGGACCTAAGGAATCTTTAAGGTAGTTTGGGGGCAGTTGTACCAGTTGTCTTCTTCTGAATGTGACCACACTGTCCAGTTTAGGGACAAAAAGGAGTTTGAAGTATGTTTTTGGGATACAAAATTCCACTTAGCTATGTGTTCCTGCACAATGATAAAACAACAAACAAAAACAATGACAAAACTAACATCTTTGAACCCTGGACTGACTACAATTAAGTATTTCATCTGCATAATTTACTTAATACTCATTATAACCGTTTGACAAAGTAACTGAGGCTTAGATGATTAATTAGCAAAGCCACTAACTAGTTCCTAAGTGTCAAGGCCTAGATTTAAACCTAATTCTGAGAATTCACCCTCTCAACCTTTTTAATCTTTCTGCTTACTTCTTTTATCTCCCAGTGCAGATGATATTTGATGTAAGGATTAGTTGAGATTATGAATGATTTGCATTTAATTAAAGGTAACTTTTTAAAAATTTGCTAATAGCCCTTACACCATCTTGGCTGCTAGTTCCATAATCTCCAGCCTCTAGCATGTTATTTATTTATTCATTTTTGATGGTACTGAGGTTTAAACTTAGGGCCTCATACCTGCTAGACAGGTGCTTTACCACTTGAGCCACTCACACCAGCTCTTTTGTGTTGGCTATTTCCAAGATAGGGTCTCATGAACTATTTGCCCAGGCTGGCTTTGAATAGTGATCCTCCTGATTCCTGATCTCTGTCTCCTGAGTAGGTAGGTTTACAGGCTTGAGCCACTGGCACCCAGTAGCCTGTAGCATTTTAGATATGGGGTGGGGGGCACGAGGTTTAGTTAGCATACTTCATAGCATTGGTCAATATAAAACACTGCTCTTGTTCCAAAGGAAATAAGAATTTATTGTGAACTCAGTATGAGTGACTGTTGCTCCCAAACTGGGATTCAGGTTACCTTGAATGACATGTCCCACTGTGGAAGAGTTTACATATATTTTTATAGTCACAGAACAAAAGAGAGTCACAAAAAAATGTATTTACCAAATACATTGCTGGGGGCATCAGGCAGACTGGCTACCAGCACAGCAGAAAATCTCTTCTATAGGTTTTGGATGTTATAACATTCTTAACTTTAGAGGTGATGTAAACTAGTAGTCTACAAAGTTTAACAATACATTCAAGTTTAACCTAATAGTCATAGGATGTTAGGTTAGATACAGTGGTTGTTAGCAAATGGCTATTAAAGGGACTAAAAATAGCCCAAGATAATTTTGACTCTAGATCTGCAACATTCCAACATTCCATCTCTTCACAGTCATGAAGATCTAGTCAGTAAGTCTGTAAATCTTCAACACCAATGTTGGTTCTTTACAGAACTTCAGTTCACACTGAACAGTTCACCTCTGAACAGGCCTCAGAGTTCTTGATTCTTAGATTGGTCTAGAGCTAGCTCTCTGGCTATCTGAGACCTCAGTGCTACACTTGCAATCCAGAGCCACATAGAGTTTGAGCAGACAGAAAGAGACTGAGTCAGAACTGGGCTAACAAGGGAGTCCAGTTGGAGATTGAATTGCCTAGAGCAGATTTTAATCAAGATTGACAACTGGTGGATACAGACAGAACCTTGGACAGCTTATTGATCGAGATGGAGTCTTGCTAACTTTTTCCCTGGGTTGGCCTCAAACCAGGATCTTCTAGATCTCTGCCTCCCAAGTAGCTGATATTACAGGTAGGTGCCAACATATCCAGCCTGTTATCCCTGTTTTATAGAAAATGAAGGAAAAAAATTTAACTCAAAGGATGGTGTTATCAGTTGACTTGTGTCTTCCAGTTACATATGTTGAAAGTCTAATCCCCAGGACCTTATTTTAAATAAGGTTGTCTTAGATAACATCATACTGGAGTGGGGCAGGCCCTTAATCCAATATGGTTGGTGTCACAAGTCAAGGAATGTCTGGGGTCATCAAAAGATGAAAGAAGCAAGGCAGAATCTTCCTCTAAAGTCTTCTTAGAGATCATGGCCCTGATGACACCTTGACTTCAGACTTCTAGCATCCAGAGCCGTGAGAGAATAAATTTCTCTTGTTTTAAGCCACCAACTTTGCGGTAGTTTGTTACTGCAGTACAAGAAACTGACACAGATGGTTTAAATGTTAAATGAAAAACCATTACATTAAAATGCTGAATAAATAGTATTTAACAGGCTGCACAAAAAGTATTTTTAAAATATCTCCGTGTAAGAGGAATGCTAATATTTTGCCAGAGTATGCAAAGCTACTGAATAAAAATGAGTGCAGTTCCCCAGAGTACTTATTTTACTCTGAGATTTTGTGGGAAGTGTGGTTATTAATTCATTTGTTAAGAATTTTAAACATTAAAAAGAAACACTATTTTTTAAAGACAAAAGAGAATTCTTTAAAGGCGTTCTTGAGTTTTTATCCTTAGAGTTTCAGGAGTACTATTAACTTCTCTGTGATTGGAGAAATATCAATTTACATGCATTCATACATGTACTATATACATTGCACATATCTATACATGTGTATATATATATATGTATGTGTGTATACATCATATTATATGTTCATATATGTATATATGAACAGTCCTGAATTGAAACTCTGGGCTGTTAATATTGTTTTTAGCAAATAGTGTACTAATTCTCCCCACCTGGTCTGAGAAGAAAGCACAAGTTAGAAACCATTTGACAGCAACTCTCCCATATCTCCCACCTACAACACAGTAGCTAGTAGAAGTGTCTCAAGCCCCTGTCCTGAAGCCCTCCCTACCTTTCTAGTGGAAAAAATAACAAGCCATACTGAACCTCCAATACGGTAAAAAATGAGGGCAGAGGGCAATTTCTGCTCTTTTCTGGTGGTATTGCTCAGAACTTCTCAAGTGAGAACCTCTGTTTTGACAGGATTACTCTATCTACTCATAGGAACAGTCATAATTTTCCACATATTCCTTGATTTCCTATCATCTCTTTTGAGTTGTATAAACAAACCTTACTCAGTAAAATGGAAAAATACCTCATGTTGTAAGATGTGGTTCATCTTTGGAATAGTGATTTGGAGCATCGTGTAGGCCTAACTAGAATGGATTTGTACTATTAGCTCTACCACTTCATAGTGGGTGACTGTAAGCAAGCTATTTAATCTTTCTGAGCCTCTGTTCCCTTTTTTGTAACATGAAGCTAATATGGTTTACTTGAAGAATTGTAGAGAGAATTAATTATGACATATAAATATCTCTGACATATATGTTGGTAGTGCTCAAAATATGACCAGTTCCTACCTGACTCATTGCACTGAGTCATTTTGTAGTAGAATAGCTCTAAGTCAGACAGCGAATGTGATTTGCCTCAGGTCACATTTCTGAGTATGACTCACTTACTGAACAAATCTTCTATGTTGGACTCTGTGCTAACACATGTGGCTGCAAGCAAGTAATGTCCTTCAGGAAGTTCAAAGCCCACTGTAAAGATGATAGGTAAATGAATCACTACAACCTGAAGGAATGTCTTTTATGAGAAGTCATCAAATTGCATGTCTTCATGCAGTGAACATACCAGAGTTGCCAGGAGCTAAGGAAAGGGAAAGAAGCAAAAACCTCTGTGATCTCAGCTACTCAAGGCATAGATAGGAAGATAAAGGTTCAAGGCTGACCCTGGGCAAAAGCACAAAACCCTATCTGAAAAATAACTAAAAGCAAAAAGGGCTGGTGGCATAGCTGAAGTGGTAGAGAGCTTGCCTAGCAAGAAGAGCAAGGTCCTGAGTTCAAACCCCAGTACTAAATAAATAAATAAGATAGCTAACTCACAATATTGTTGAACAAATGAATGTAAAAGACTTAGCATTTTACCTAAACTGTACTACTGTTCATTGTATTACATTTGTTGTTATTAAAAATACGTTTTCTTATACAGAAAGTGGAAGTGTGTTAGAATCAGATAGAACCCCAGTTCCACTCACCTGAAGGTTACTTTGGGGTATAAATGAGAAAGATGATTTGAAGTAATGCTTGGTAGCTTCCTGCAACTAACAAAACTATAACCTTGGGCAACTTACTTAACATCTCTGTACTTCACTTTTCTCCTCTATGAAATGGAGATGATAGTAGTTATCTACCACATACAAATGTGGATGTTAGATGACCAAAGGATTTTAGGGTCCTACCTGGTAAAGTGGTCAGTGAAGGTTAGCTAGTATTGTCATTGTTGTTGTTGTTATTTTTATTCCATACAAAATAGTCTTCTTGTCTTCCCACGTTAGCAACTGAATTCTGAGGAGAGAAATGTCTCGCTTA